CACACACACACACACACACAGAGTTGGGTCTCCATGACTTCAGAGGACATTGCATGTCCTTACATTCCTGGAGACTTACTCTAACCCTGACCAGAATTACTACTTACCTAATCCTAACCCCTACCCTAACTCTAACCTAAACCCAAACTTAAAACATGTCTTCACCTTAAAATGTAATGATTCACATTATGGGAACTTGCTTTTGTCCCCATAAGGAAGACAAGTCCCCATAATGTGACTGTGTAAACAGATTTAGGTCCCCACAACATGACAATACCTGGATCTTTCCTTATTGGGACTTTGCATTGACTTCCATTCATGGTGGACAGCCTAACCAAAACCTAATAACGTTAACTTTGGTCCCCATGAGGTCGACTGGTCCTGACAAGGTCATAGTTTATGTCCTAGAGATGAAATTGTCTTTACATGGACACAGACTTGACATTTTTTTGCTCTCATCCTTAGTCATATAAAAAGTGTAGTTGTTAATAAACCCCTGATTGTTCACAGGGTTTGTCGACAGCATGTTTCAGTGGGACTCCAGACAATAAGCCAGTGGCATGATGGTTGGCAGATGTCAAGGAGAAGTACTACACTACCCACAATCCTCAGGTGTAACAGCGCTGTCTATGATTGGTGGACCTCGTTGTTACTATGGAAACTTTTACCACAGCTGCAGAAATCCCTACAACAAGGTTACATAAAAGAAGGAGCGCACTGGAAGTTGTTGGAAAAGGATCATTTGCAATGGTTTATGGGATGTGTAGTTCCTTCACTCTTGAAAAATTATGAACATAGTCTTATACCTTTGCCTTTTTTTCCATTTCCCAATTTTATTTGTTCCAAATCAAATATTGTCTGGTCACTGTTATGCTCTATACGTCAGGGAGATTAACACACACAATCAAACATACACACCGTATCCCTGCTTTCCGTAAGCGAGATGAGGTGGAATCTTGACCAGTCGTCTCTCGTTGATGCACATCCCCACCAGAGCTTTGTCCATCCCTGCGATCAGCTGCTTCTTGCCGACAAACACGTTGTAGGTGCTTCCACGGTCGTAACTGAAAAACACACATACACACATCACTAAATTATAAATGATTATTATTATTATTTATTCAATTTACAATGAAGCAAAGGCCATGCAGTAACCTTGAGGCTTCTTGGGCCTTTTGAGGTCTGGGGGCCCCGGACAGCACCCACTTTGCCCAGTTGGCAATTCAGCCGTCCAGGGTCACATGAGTAAGTCAGTGGTTCTCAAAGTGGAGTCCAGAGACCCCCAGAGGTCATTTTTGATAAAGGCCTCAACAGAGGACTGCACAACACTCCAGTGTTCAGAAGAAGAGATGCAGATCAGATTTGTAGACTCATGTGATCAAACTAATGATCAAGTCCTTATTCTTAAGTTTGGAGCCAGCTTTCAGGACCTCTGAGGGTCTCATTGACTCCACATTTCCCTAATTCAGCCTCCCAGGTACACTACTATTCACTAAGTCAGTGGTTATCAGTGAGGCCCTGGGGCCAGGGGGGCACTGGCCCCAGCTGAAATCTAATTGGCCCCCTTAGTGCCCCTGACCTGTCAGTAGTCTTTTAGTCTGTTGTTTTAAAGAAGTTACAGTCACTTAGTAGCAATACTAACACAAAAAAAAGACAATTTTTATTTTTTATGCTTTTTGAGGATTGACCTAAATAAGCACCTTACTGAACCAGGAGTTGTGCATGGATGTTGATCATGTAACTGCCCCTGCTCTGTAAATTGTGACCCCTGATCTACAAAAACCTTATATGCTGCTCTGAACACTGGGATCATATGTGCATTCATCTGTTTTGGTCTTTTGCAGGAAAAAGTGCAGGAGCCCTTGGATGAATCGTGTGTGGATCCAGAGCTGCACTCGACCAGCTTGCCTGCGTGGCTCACTCAGGCGAACCCACTCTACGCGCACTTTTACGCATCACGCACGCAACTCGTGCACCCTGGGGACAAAAATTAACAACAAAGCTGGTTCTTCTGCGTGATGCTCACCTGGAGTCGAACTTCTTGCCATCTGGGAAAACGCCGTTGTAGTGGTACCTCACGTAGTCGCCCACCTTGACTGCGCGCACACACTGCTCCGGCACGAAAGTTTTCTCAATGAGGATGTCGTCTAACGGGACCGGGGGAGCGTTGCAGGCGGCGAACGCCACCAGAACAGCCAGGTATAACATGGCGTGCACGCACAAGCTCATTTTCATTGCCGACATAAACGAATCAATCGCGATGGAGATAAGCGACGGTCCAGCCTGGGTACGTGTGTCCTCCCTGTTCCACGGTTTCCTCGACTTGGACAGAAGTCCTGCCCCAAGTTACAGCACAGGAATGATCGTGCGTCAAGCTGCACGAATAAGACAAAGAACATCCGGTTAAACCTTAAAGATGAAAAACGCCTCTATTTCAAAATGAAATGATCAATATTAAGAGACGCAGATTGTAAAGATTTAGATTTTACATTGGACGTTTAGATTTAGATTTTACATTTGATATTTTGATTTAATTTTAACATTTA